TTTTATTTTTTTCTTTTTTTTTCTCTTTCTTTTTGTATTTATATTATTTTATTCAAATTATTTCTCGTTTTATTATATCATTTCTTATTTTCTTTATTCTTTTTTTCTTTTCTTCAAATATGTTTCATTGTTATTATGATATATAATAATAGTTACATTATTTAATAGTTCAATTTTATTCTTTCATCTATTATATATGTGTTTATTCTTTTATGTTATTGTTAATATTTTACTAATATTTATTTGTTCAATATTATTGTGATGTATTTATATTGGAACATTGTTTCATATCTTGATTTCATTTTGTTTTTCTAATTATCTAATATGGAAAATCTTAATATTGTCATGTTTCTCAATTTATGATTTCTTATGAAAAATACAAGATAATAGAATATATTCTGTTCTTATTATTTTATCTTTATAACCTGTTGAGTATTTTAATCATTTTTATTGTTTTATCTTTTCTATACACACTGAATAGTATTCCATCTTGTATTTTAGTTAATTAGAGAATTGTATTTTTAATATTGATTGAATTCAATGTATTGATTATATTAGTTTTATCCACAAATTGTTGATTCAATCAATATTCTAAAATATCAACTTATTTGATTTATTGAGGCAATAAAAATGAAATAAGAGAAAAATGAAGAGAAATGATGAAAAAGAATTTTGTAAAAGAAAAAAATGAAATTATGAAGTAGAAAAAGATGAAAAGAATAAAAGTGAAAGTTGAAAATATAAAATGAAAGAAAATAAAAAGGAGTAGTTCAAAATGAGATAATAAATGATGAAAAGAAGGATGAAATAATATGTGTATGTTTTATTACAGAAATTAGAAATATGTAATAAAAGTGTTTAATTTATTGATGCAATTTATTTAACTTTATTTTATTGATATATTTATTTTATTCTTTTTTATTTTTATAATTTTTATTTATATGTATTATTTATTATTAGTGTTTATTATTAATCAGTTATAGATGTTATATGATTAGTATATAATATGTAATATATGATAAATAATAAATATTAATTTCATATGATATAGATAGAAGATATAACAATTAAATAAATAATAATAAATGATAAAGAAATAATAATAGAAAAGAAATGATATAATAATAAATAAAATATATAAATGAAATAATAAATAAAATCAATATAATATAAATAAAATAATAATAATATAAAAAAAATAGATATAAATTATAAAAATATAATAAAAATGAAATAAGATAATGAAATATATTCATATATAATAAATTATATATAAATAAAAATATATTCATATATAAAATAAAATATAAATAATAATAATATCAAACTAATAAAATATGATATATAAAATATATAGATAAAATGATGATATATATAATATAAAAATAAAAATAAATATAATAATAAAATACATAAAATATAAAAATAACATAATAATAAAATAATAATAAAAATATGTACTTACATTGAATCAAATATCATTTCTGAATCATTTATAATTCAGAACAATTTACTATAAAATGATATAAAATATAAACAAATATAAATGAATATAGAATGATTATTTAATTTAATTTTTTATTTTTTATTTTAAGAACAAAATAATAAAAACTATTATTTTATTGATTCAAATTATTTTACCCCTTTCTTTTTGTAGTAATTTTATTTAGATTCATTATTTCTTTGCTTATTTTGGTTCCCTTTTATATTTAAGATTTATTCATAGTCATTTTCTATTATTTATTTTCGTTTTTGTTATTATAATTAATTATTCTTTTATTTTTTTCTATGTTATTTCTTGAAAAGAAATTATTATTAAAATTAAATTTGTCTTTAAAAACAATTCATGAAAAATATTGTTTAATATCATTACTTAAATTATTTTCAATTATTCTTATTTATTCTGGATTTCTCTTTTCATTTCAATTTCTTTAATCATGTATCTTCTCTTTATCTTTATTATATCTTATTCTTTTATCTTCTTGATGTTTATCAGTTATATTTATTGTATCATCATCTCTATATATTCTCTTTAAATTTTTATTCATTTAAAATAACATCATTATTATATTCACTTTTATTGTGTTATAATTCTTCATCATGTTTCATTGAATCTT